CATGAGACTGAAATGCTCTATAGTTTTCTTGAATGTGTTGTTACCATTTGACAAATGATTCAAGATACCTTGGTTTTTGTGTTTGTCAATTTGTTGTGTAAAAGGAAGAGATGGGAATTTTCTGCTCATAATGTTGCCTGCGTCCAATATTTTTGTAATGTATAGCAGGCTCGACTCATAATGTACCTTCATCCAATATTTTCATAATTTATCAATCCGTGATACGGGTGTATCTTCTCTTCGGAACTTAGCGATCCTCATGGGAGCTTGAAGATAGATGATTCTCATGATAGCATGAGAATAGACGTGTCAAACAGTACAAGGGAACGCAGGAGGAAGCGTGGAACGAGACGACGAGCAGAAGAATCGAAGTATCCAGTTTTCAGCCTGTGAGTCGACTCATAACAGTCATGAGTTGACTCATCAGGTTGAGTTGACTCATGACTGTCATGAGTCGACTCATCGTTGGTTTTTGAGTTTTGTCCAGTTTCTGACGAGTCGACTTATCTCAGTCATGAGTCGACTCATCGATGGTTTCCTGGTTCGTTTGGATTTTTGTTCACACGAATTCCTATTGGTTTTGGATCTGGTTATTTACCAAATTGTCATCCACGTTTGTACATCTATATAAGGGATTGTTTTAGGATTTAAAACAATCAGAGAGTTTAATCAAGAGAGATTAAAATTATAATTGAGATTTGGAGAGCATGTTCTTCAATTCTAGAGTGAGATTGTGAGAGATTGTAAATTGCATACTCATAATCTAGAGAAGATATTTTCCTTCGCCCAAAACCTGAGTTATTCTTGTGTTCTTATTGTTTTCTCCTCTACCCACCTTTGATAATTCTGCGATCAAAGGTGTTCGCACGGCAACTCGTATCAAGTTGGTATCAGAGCATCAGATCCGGTGAAGGGGCATCCTGTGTATGGTCCTTACACGATCACAGTACAAGAAGCTTGGCGAGATCCTTATTTCCTTGGAAGGAGCCCAAGATTTAAGGAAGGAGAATATGTCTGAAGCAGATAACTCAACAAGACTTGATGTTATGGAGAAGCAGATCGAGACGATCGGTTCAACGCTCAGTCAACTCGTAGGTCTCATTAACAAATAGGACAAAAGGGAGGAATCTTCTTCGAAGGGTAAGAAGAAACTCGTCGAGTCTGATGAAGAAAGCGAGAAGTCTGATTCAGATGAGGGAACTGAGATTGTTAGGACTGCTGCACATCAAGGGGGTAAAAATAATTATCAAAATTTGAAGATAGATTTTAAAATGGAAATTCTTGTCTATGATGGGAGTGTCAATGTGGAGAAGCTCGATGATTGGATTGAGCATATGAAGATGTACTTCACTCTCTACGGATATTCATCCAAGGAGAAAATCGTGTTCGCGACGTTGAAGCTTTCGGGTCACGCGTTGACGTGGTGGAAGTCCTACTGCAAACAGGAAAAGAAGGCGATGTCGTGGAACAAATTCAAGGAGCTATTGAGGAAGCAGTTCTATCCGGTAGGGTTCCTTGAAGAGCGTTGGTACAAGTGGTACGGCTTGCGCCAAAGATTCAATCAGACCGTTCAAGAGTATACGACGGAGTTCCAGCAGCAGGCGATGGTTCTAAACATCGTAACGGAGGAATACTCCATCTTCATGAAATACATGGCGGGTCTGAATGATTACATCCGAAAGAAGATGAAGCTGTTCACGGTCGAGACGATTGCAGAGGCGAGCGTGAAGGCAATTGTCATTGAGGGCAAACAGAAGAAGGGCAACGAAACGAAGGGAGATTCCAAACAGTCGGGAGGCAAGTCTAGTGGCCCTCAACATAAGGAAGAGAAGAAGAAGGGTGATTCGAGGAAGGCAGGATTGACATGCAATCACTACAAGCAGACAGGGCACGTGGTTGATCGTTGCTGAGAGAAGTACCATCATCTGAAGCCGAAAGGGTTGAAGAAGAAGGATGAGAAGAAAGCATACGTGATAGCGCAGAGTCCGAAGGAGGTTCCCGGGATGACAGAACCCAACAGCAGCCTCAACCTTATGACGGGAAAAAAGGCCACGAAAAAAGATGACGACCCGAGGGAGCAGCTCTTTGTTTTGAAGTTGCAGGTCAAGACCAGTTTGGTGGATGTCATTGTAGATACAGGGAGTCAGAAGAACCTGATATCTGAAGTATTAGTACAGAAGCTAGGATTAAAGATGGTGAAACATCCAAAGCCCTATCCATTAGGGTGGATTCAGAAGGAAGCGGGATTGAGTGTGGTGAACCAGTGTACGTTCAGATTTGCACTCCATGAGTCGTATATTGACGAGGTCATATGCGACGTGGTTCCGTTGGATGTTTGCCAAGTCATTTTGGGCAGTCCTTATTTGTGGGATAGAGACGCAGTATATGATAGGCGGGCCCAAAAGTATACGTTCACCAAAGATGGCGCGTAATTTATTTTTCGGTCGGCATCTCTTCCGCAGGAGACGAGTTTGGTGACGGTGACTCAGGTTAAGAGGTTGGTGAATGCGGGCAGGAAGTTCATTTTGTTGTTCATTCGGCCTTATGAAGAGCAACTGAGTAGGATATGCTTGTCCACTTTGAGCAAGCTTCAGGAGGGAGATCTTGACAGCTTGAAAGCCAAGTATTCGGACTTGTTTTCAGAAATCATGGGACTACCACTACGGTGAGGTGTAGAGCATGAGATTATGTTGACCGGCGAGAGTTCCTTACCGAACATAGGCCTATACCGCACATCAGTACAGGAGTCTGAAGAGATCAAGAAACAGGTTCAGGAGCACTTGGAGACGGGAGTGATAGTGCCGAGTTGTTCACCTTGCGGGTCGCCGGTGTTATTGGTGTCCAAAAAGGATGGAGGCTGGTGCATGTGCGTGGATTATCGGGCGCTCAACAAGATAACGATCAGAATCGTTACCCACTACCACGGATTGATGATCTTATGGACCAGTTGGAGGGAGCGAGGTTCTTCACGAAGTTGGATCTGAAGTCTGGCTATCATCAGGTAAGGATTCGGGAGGAAGACACTTGGAAGACGGCGTTCAAGACCAAACAGGGCCTGTTCGAGTGGTTGGTGATGCCGTTTGGGTTATGCAATGCTCCGGCGACTTTTATGAGGCTCATGAATGATTTGTTACGAACTTTCATAGAGGATTTTGTGATTGTGTACATTGATAATATTTTGGTGTCCAGCAGGACCTGGGAGGAGCATCTTATTCATGTGGAGAAAGTGTTTAGAGTGTTGCAGGACGGACAGCTGAAGCTCAACGGGAAGAAGTGTGAGTTTGGGAAGGACGAGTTGATGTATCTCGGCTTCATCGTGGGGAAGGGCCAGAAGAGGATAGATCCGGGTAAGGTGGCGGTGATCACGAAGTGGCCGACGCCGAAGACAGTGATTGAGGTGAGAAGCTTCATGGGGGCTTGTTAATATTTGCGCAAGTTCATTCGACATTTTTCGACTTATGCGGCACCGTTACATAGCCTCGCAAAGGCTAAGGTTCAGTTCAAGTGGGGGAGGACGCATGAGGAGACTTTTCAATTGCTAAAGAGGAAGATCTCGGAGGCACCGGTGTTAGCTTTACCGAATTTGCAGCGGACTTTCGAGGTGGAGACTGACACGTCTAGTTATGCGATGGGCGCAGTGTTGATTCAGGATGGGAAGCCAGTGGAATACCATTCTGCGATGTTTACGGGTGCTATTGCGAACTACCCGACCTATGACAAGGAGTTCTATGCACTTTATCAGGCGATTAAGTATTGGATGGTGTACTTGTTGGGGAAGGAGGTGGTTGTGCACTCGGATCGCAAGCCGTTGGAGTTCTTACATGCTCAGACGAAGCTACAACAGGCGCGGCACATGAAGTAGATGTCTTATTTGATGGCTTTCATCATCATTATTAGGTACAAGAAGGGGGCGATAAACAAATTGGCCGATATGTTATCTCGTCCGCCGGTAAGGGCTTTATTGGTGGCGACACGTATTCAGTCCTTTGTTCCTTTGGAGTATGTACAGCTGTACGCATCCAGTAGAGACTTCGGTAATGTGTTCGAACAGGCAAAGGCTGGTCAAAGGGGAGAGTATGCACTTGGAAAAGATGGCTTGTTGTATCGGGGAACATCACTATGTATTCCGGATGATGGTGATAGGTTGCAGTGGATTAGAGAGGCACATACTTCACGTGTGCAAGGACATTTTGGAATTCAAAAGACACTTCTCAATCTACGACGACATGTGTTTTGGCCACGGATGCTTGATGATGTGACCAAGTATGTTGGAGGGTGTAAGTTATGCTGTATTTCGAAGCCTTCTAACAGGAAGAGGGGATTATCCCTACCACTACCGATTCCTTCTAGGTCGTGGGAGAGCATATCTATGGATTTTCTAGGAGGGTTGCCAACTACCAAGCGCGGGCATGACTATTTGTACGTCGTGGTGGACCGGTTCAGTAAGATGGTGTTTTTGATTCCTTGTAAGAAGACCGTGACGGGAGCGGGTGCAGCACAGTTATTCTTCGAGCATGTGTGGAAGTATTTTGGGTTTCCGAGTTCGATAATTTTGGATCGGGATAGCCGTTTTCTTGGATATTTTTAGGATTCTTTGTGGAGTTTGATGGACACTAAATTGAAGAAGAGCACGGTCTTTCATCCACAAACAGATGGACAAACGGAGGTAGTCAACCGGACTATGGTGCATATGTTGCGGGGGTATAATTCTAGGCATCCCAAGACTTGGGATGAGAGCTTACCATATTTGCAGTTTGCTTTTAATCGGGCGATTCATGGATCTTCGGGAAAGTCACCGTTTGAGACTTGTTATGGATTCTTACCACCGAGTCCGTTTGATCTTGTGTTTTCGAGTGAAGTTACAACGGACGGAAAGGAGGGGAATGAAAGAAAACGTGCTCAGCGATTTCTGGAGAAGATTGCGCATATTCATGCCTCAGTTGAAGCACAGTTGAAGAAGTCACAAGCAAGGTACAAGGCGAAGCATGATCAACATCGGGTTCCTTGTAACTTTGGCGTGGGCGATATGGTGTGGCTGAAATTGAGTAAGGAGAGGCTCAAGGGAGAAGGGAAGAAGTTAAAACCGATACGTTATGGTCCATTACGGATTCTCGATCAGATTGGCGATAACGCTTTCAAGCTCGATTTACTGCCTTACTTAGGTATGTATTCGGTGATCAATGCCGAGTACTTGAAGTTGTTTGAACCTCCATTACTGGATGATGAAGGTGATGACAAGGTGATCTTGTCGCATGTTGAAGACTTATGGTTTGATAGAGAGGAGCCGCTGAAGGAAGATTGCATTTTGGAGCGAAAAACGACCACGACGAGGCGGGGAATGAAGGAGTCGTTTCTCATTGGACGTCAAGGTCAAGTTCCTAGCAAGGCTAAATGGTTCAACAAAGAAGGAGGGGCTCGCAAGTTTCCTCAGCTGAAGTTCTAACTTGAACGGGACTTCAAGTTCCTAAAGAGGGGACCCATGATACGGGTGTATCTTCTCTTCGGAACTTAGCGATCCTTATGGGAGCTTGAGGATAGATGATTCTCATGATAGCATGAGAATAGAGGTGTCAAACAGTACAAGGGAACGCAAGAGGAAGCGTGGAACAAGACGACGAGCAGAAGAATCGAAGTATCCAGTTTTCAGCCTGTGAGTCGACTCATAACAGTCATGAGTCGACTCATCGCTGATTTTTGAGTTTTGTCCAGTTTCTGACGAGTCGACTCATCTCAGTCATGAGTCGACTCATCGATGGTTTCCTGGTTCGTTTGGGTTTCTGTTCACACGAATTCCTGTTGGTTTTGGGTCTGGTTATTTACCAAATTATCATCCACGTTTGTACATCTATATAAGGGATTGTTTTAGGGTTTAAAATAATCAGAGAGTTTAATCAAGAGAGATTAAAATTATAATTGAGATTTGGAGAGTCTGTTCTTCAATTCTAGAGTGAGATTGTGAGAGATTGTAAATTGCATACTCATAATCTAGAGAAGGTATTTTCCTTCGCCCAAAACCTGAGTTATTCTTGTGTTCTTATTGTTTTCTCCTCTACCCACCTTTGATAATTCCGTGATCAAAGGTGCTCGCACGGCAACTCGTATCAATCCGCGCTGCAATCTACAAAAATGAATTATTTCATTGTAGCTATTTGTCATTTGTAGAAAGGGTGCATGTAGCAAGAGATCCCTGGCTGTTCTAGCGTAAAGATTAGCTTGGCAATAATTATAAACATGATTTTATGAGTTCAAGAAGGCAATGGTTTGAGATCATGGCTTGACCTACTTGTTAATCGATCAAGATTTCCTCTTATTAAAATTGTACTTGTAGCATAAGTTGTTTTGTTTATATTATAGCATGTTGTAAGAAATAAAGGAACCATTAAGTGATATTGCCATTTAGCTCATGTTTAATATCAGTGTTTACGAAACATACATACGGGGAGAACCATCTAATTCAATAATCCAATATGTTTCAGCGAATTGTGTTCAAGATGTTAGTTCAGTTATATTCTCAGAACCAAAATAAAGAATTAGAAAAAAATATATCTTTCATGTTGGTCAATTGCTCTGAATAACAATATACAGATATAGCTTGTCACACACAATATATCAATACTTCGAATACACTGTTATACAAAAGCATGGTTTTTTACACTGTTGCTTCGATCTTTTACAACACTCAATTGATAGCTTCCTCATCATCATGAATACGAGTGACATCTAACCGTGCAAAATGTTATTATACAAAGGGAAGCAACACTTCTGAAGCGCCTGAATTAGAGCGCCGAAGAAGACCGCAGGGCGACTTACCTCTTCCACTATCTGCATATTCCTCTTCATGTTAGCCATGGTTACATGTTCACGCAAAAATATTGTAGCGACATATAATCAGTTATGGAAATTGATGATTCTGCATTTACATGAACTATATTATCACTTGTTTGAAAATAGCAAAGTAATGCCGGTTTAAAGATTGATAGAGAAATAAAATGCCAAGGTTTGATAAAAAGGTTGTTGGCATTTGCCAATTCGTGATGGTCATTCAGTAATATAAGTGGGAAAACATCAGTAGATGATTGGTTGGTGTTTTCAGTTTTTTATAGTATAATTTCAAGAAACTACCATGAGTTTGTTGGTTATTTGAGAAACCTATCATGAAAGATTTTTGTTTTAATTTTACACCCATTAAGTTAGCAACTAATAAAGAATCTCCCAACAACATTAACAACTGTCCTGAAAAGAGTAATTTGCTTCTTCAAATGTAGTATGTACCTACGAAATGAAAGAAAACACAGGAGAATACAATACTTAAGGTTGGCTTTGTCCAGAATTTGTCATATGCAAGTCACGCGACTACTTAAACTAACAGAGAAGATGGAAGAAAATTTAGTTCAAATATTAAATTAAAATGATGGATTCATGACAGTTTCTATGAAGATTCATGTTACAACAACAACAACAAAGCCTTTGTCCCAACGTTTGAGGTCAGGTCGTTACATAATTTTATTCTTTCGTTCAATCTATCTAGGGCTACCTCCTCTTTCATTCTGATCTGTTTAAGGCTATCTCCTCCTTTGAGTTATGAAAGTTCATGTTAATTTCTTGAAATTTAGCCCTTTCTACCATTCCTCCCTTTTATTTTATTTTTTATTTTTTTTCTTCCTTATTTCCTTGTTTCTTTCTTTCTCTTGAACATTTATATTGCCTTGCTACTAAAAGAGAACATGAAAGTAAGAGGAGAATTCAGACCTTTTGGTCGAGCGAGTTGTGCGCTTTACAGTTCGGACAGTCTTTCCATCTTGCATTAGTCCTTTGCTCCCCTTCAACTTCGACTTGGAGGCACCTGAAGCAGTTTAATAAGGTCTGGAACAAAATATGCAACATTTAAACAACTAGAGAGCTGTTAGTTACCTCGATGAGAAGTTTTTGGTGATTGAACCTCCAAGTCATCTACCTCGCTTTTATTAACAACACTTGAAACACCACTTTCTTCTGATAGTGTATCACCGTCTTGCAAAACAAATTCTTCAATTGTGACATTTTCCTTGCCTTCACCATTGATTATCTCACCATCCCCATGTACTGGTAAATAATGACTTATGATTCATGTAAGCAAATAACAAACAACAATGGTCGAGTAGAACATACTATCAAGTAGTGATCAAGCAATACCGATGAATTTGGAAAATATTATCTTGGAAACTATATTTGCAATGGGAATCATGTAAAGATATACTTGATGAATAACTCTGGTGTGTTGTGGGCTCTTCCCTTGTCATGTTAGATGTTTTCCAAAAAAACTCTTATCCTGTGGCACGCTTCTTTATTCTCAATATAGAAAATGTTCCACTTGCCAATGAGAATGTTACATACAATATGCTAGATTTCTCTGAGAACCAGGTCATAGAATACCGCTTCAAATAGGAGAGCTATGGCTCTCAATAGATACTTAGGTCAATCATATCATAAACTAATATTCTTCATGCAGGTGAGGCCATAAGCAAGTTTTTTGTCCCAGAAGGGAACTAATGGTGAGAAAAAAGAAAATAAAGCTGGCATTTCTTTCATTATAATTCTAAAAATATAATCATATAAAGATTTTTCGCAAGAAAAAAGGTCAAACTTGTAGAGTTTAGAATTTTAATTAAGTACCTTCAGTACTATTTTCATCCATCTCCTTTTCTGCAGAGCTCTTCTTGGTTGTTACAATGCCCTTCAGAGTACCAAGTCTCTGTTGGTGAACCTGGGCATTTCTAGCAGTCGCTTCTTGTTCTTTTTTCTCCACGTGGATCTTGTTAAGCTTCTCCTCAAATTCTTCAATGCAAGATTTGAGTTCTGGTTTGGCAAACTTCTTGCACTGATTTAAGAAGATACGGTAGGTGAGAAGAATAGGTACAGTTGTTGGGGATTTCTGTACTAAAAAAGTGCCATATGATGATTTAGCGTAGGCATTAAGCAGCTAATAACAAATCGACCTTCCAGTTCTCAGCATTACAGGGTCTAAATGCAAAATCAAATATGATAACATGTGTAACTTTGTTAATTGCTACCTTGCTGATAATGACTCTGAAGTAATCCATCACAGAATCTTCACACAGAGCATGCTCATATGTTTTGAAAGAGTCAATGAGTTTTTTCAGTCCCTTCTCACTAAAGGTTAGCTGGGAAAGGCAATAAGCAATATACTCCCACTGCCTAATATCTGCAACAAAAGAACAAACTAGAAATAAGAATGGAGCTATTCTGCAGGAAAAAATAGCGCTGTAGAAAAACTGAGGACAAATAAAATCAAAATCTAAACAATTATATAACATGACTGAATTTAACCTTTACTACTATAAGTTAAGCCCATGAATAAAAGATAATATAATACGTATTTATATCTCGTCAATTAGAAACAAACAGAGGCCTTTTTGAAGAATCTTCCTTCTTTAGACAAGATCACCAGTGATTTTTCAGATATCTTATTGTGGGTAAAATGTCTGCAGTTCATAAGATATCCAGAAACCCTCAGAACAAAAGATAACTACATGCTTCATTTTAACTTTATTGATTTTAACCCCAAATGTCCTTACAGAATTGTAATTGGTTTGCTGAAGTGCAATCTTTTATAGTATTTCAAAAAAGAAAAAAGGATAACCAGATATTTTTCTGAATCATTCAGTTAGCGCATATGCATGATTTGTGCATGTCAAATAGTTCATTGAAATATATATGTTCTCTTTGTTTTCTTTTAAGTTTTTGTTTTGTTTTGTTTTTATTTTTATTTTATTTTATCTGTAAACTCCCTATTTCATACAACAGGCAGTGTTAAGAGTGAAAAAATCAGTGAGCCAAGTTCCAAGAATTAAGGCCATCATATGACAAAAAATGGAGAGAAGAAATTAACAAAAGCAAAACTACTGAAATTAATCAGCAACGGGTAAACAATGATAAGGATCTATCGTTGGCTGTTTGGCTAGGTAACCATCAACCAAAAAGCCTAAATCCCAACCCCTTAGATACAATTGCTCATAAACACGCATCGGGATGAAGCCATA